TTTGATTGGCATCTGCATATACCTTTTATAATTAAAAAATAACATTTGCAGGATTGTACAGCAAATTTTGAAGAAATAAAAAATAAAACATTAATGACAAGTGATTCTTTGTGCAACTGCCATTGTCCATTTTTGAAACTGAGCTTTCTTAGAGCTCAAAATGAAAACCTAATTCCATTAAGTAATACCAATTCTGCTACGGAATTTAAAAGAACCAGGAAATCTTCCCAATCTTTAGTCTAGTTGCAGTATGTGAGCTGCCACTTTCTACGGGGGAAAGCAGCACTACCTTCACCAGGTAACTGCTAAGAAATGGCTGTCTCCTCATGTTTTGCAGCTTTGGCATTTCTATGTGCAGCAGCTCTCCAGCACCCAAATTTTCAAACCTTTCTGTCTTTCTCTGGTAAAACAGCAAGAATTGCACTGAATCAAGATCCTTCACAGCTGGATTTAGTAGAGGAGTATTTACCTCTAGGTTATTCTGCCTAGTTTGACCCAGGCATTTTTCGACTTCCAAGAATGGGAAAACATGAAGAATTTTGCTTTCAGCACAGCATTTAAATAAAACAAAACAAAACATCACTGAAGGTGCTGATGATTCACTAGGTACTTTAAACTATCTAAAACTTACTTCAGTATTGCAAGTTTGAGGTTTTCCAGTAAGTGGCCTTTTTTTTTCATATTTTGAAAACAGGAAGAGTAAGGAACATTACATGAATGGACAAGGCCCTCCAAATCTGCCACATACATCTGGTTGATCACAGAACTCCATATTACAATTGCAAAGCAAGCTGCAGTTCTGCCATCAACCGTTCAAATACTTGTTACAGCACTTTCTTACTCTGTGACAACAATTACCCAACTTTTGTTTGCAAATTCAAATGATTAAATATAAACCGATGGAAAAAAAAACCAAAACCAAACCAAAACAACCACCCACGAAGTTTAAAGTGACTCACTTCGCCAAATCACCACTGGTTTCAATTGTTCCATCTCATGCTATTAAAATGGACAATACAATGTAACAGTCAGCAATGTCTAATTCTCATCTTTCAAAACCAAGAAAATATTTGAGGTGTTTGAGTTCTCCCTTGATGTATTCCTAAAGTAACCTCCTGTCAGTGGAATGTGAAGACCGGTTAAACAAGACAGAATCTTACTCCATGAACAAAATTAGCAGAGGTACATTGACAAGGTGTCCCTGACTATTTGCTATTACCATGCTTATTATAATCCTGCCCAGAACTGCAGTTACACAGATGGGTTTTACTTATTAAAAGTTGCTCTTTGGAAACTGCAGGGATATTTTGGATGACGGTACACCTACCTGGTCACTGCAAAGGAAAGGACATGTGTGCTCTGTGTCTTTAGATAAACATGTCCAGTTGTAGTTTAAGCATTTTTTGTTAATATAACAGTAGTAACATTATACTATCTTAATAAGTAAGTAATGATAAGTAGTGTGAAAGAGAACTGCAAAATAACTCATAGGCTTCTGTCTACTGGTTGGCTTAAAGCAAAATATTCATGCCTGTTAACTGCTTCTCTGAACTTGTTTTATCCCAGATGATTTTGTAGCAGCATGTCCTTGAAGGAGAATATGAAATCCCCCATAAAGCGTACTCATCTCATGGCTGAACAAATCCAGAACGATATCTTAAATATAAAATTTGGTTTCCTTCCCCCATCTTTAAAGTGTTTTCCATATTAGCCCTTCCAGGAAGAAAACAGGAAACTTGGTTTCCATGGTATCACTCAGCATATGCAGGATCTATATTTTTTGTCTATTATAAAAATGATACTTCAGTCTCAGTATGGTACTATTCATGAGTCATCATAGCCAGATTGTGGGGAAGAGATAGGAGAACCATACAGAAAAGGGAGATATGCACTCATCTGAAATTAAATGCTAAGAGACATTAACATTTGGGAGAGGAGACTTAATGAACAGAGATCAAACATTTCTAAAAGAAAATTATTTTTTCTGATGGATAATTTCTTGATCTCACCTTTGGCATTTTATCTTCCTTCTGAAAAAAAATCCTGCTCTCATTCACTACAACAATCCTGCCACCAAGTATGTCAGCACTTAAAACTAGAGGCTGAACTACAAAATTTACTAAGACTTCATGTTCCAAGCTATTTTATGTCCAGTTGCAAGATTATTTCCATAAAAAAAAAAAAGTCCGTTTTGATTATGGCATCTGTAAACAGTGTAATATCATGACATTTAAATTAGTAATAAGAATAATTTTGACTGTATTCCCATCTATTTTTCCATGCTGCATTTTTCAAATCATGAAAGACTTTACGTAAAGACCAACAGATTCAAGTTCACTGGCCATGAAAAAAATGCCTTAGGAATAACAGATCTTCAGGGAGTGTTTGTTCCTTCAAGTAGATGTAGTGCTGAGACAGTGTGGTAGTTAAAGCACAAACAGAGGCTGTTGATAAAGTGGCAATGCATAACAATGTTGTAATGTATTATAACGGAGCAATTGCCTGCAGTTCGTCAGTGTGGATATGGCAATGGAGTTCTGCTTTACATATCCCAGGCACTAAGAATTTTGAAGCAGTGATTACAGGAGGTTCTTCTTCCCCTATAAAAGGAAAAAAAAAGTGAGGTTCACTAATCAAAACATCGATTTTGTATTTGGCCAACATTTTAGAAATGATGCAAAGAAAACTGATGAAAACCCTCTGGATCATAATGCCATACACTCGTGAGGCTGAACTACTGCATTCAGCAACTCCTTATCTAAAGAATTAATACAAATTTTTGCCCCAGGCAGGACTTTTTAGTTAAGACCTTATCAGTGAATGGACCTACTAAAGGTCTAGTTGTTGGTACTTCCTCAAAATTTAACTGTTTTGAACTTCAGTTGATGATGCCCAATACGGTGATCTCTGAGAATCTTTTCTTAGCAGATCAGTACTCTGCATATGAACTGCACTGAAAGATAGAAACAATTACAAATTATGTGACTCATGATTTTAATTCAAAGATTAAATCATAAATCCTTTAAAGAAGAAAGGAAAGATCTACCTTAAGATCCTAAATGACAGAGCTGTTCACTTCTGTTCTGACCAAGTAATAGGTTAAAAAAATAGCCAGGGCAGAAATGGTACTGTGAATTCAGAGTAATAATTTGGAAATGTCCAACTCTTAGAACAAGAATAAAAGCTAAAAAATTCTATCACCTCCTCTCATTATTAGGCATATCAATATTAGGGCTAGAAATATTATGTATGTCTGGGATAGTAAAAAGATTTAGTGTTACACTGTAATAGGCAGATGATGCTCAGTTCTAGATACTGTCTCCCTTGTACCTGTACCTAATGGGGACCGTGGTTTGGCTGAGGGGAGGTGTGGGTGAGAGCCAGTCAAGGTGGTGCTTGCAGACTGGGACAGGGAATGAGAAAACGGCAGAAGTTATTGTGGTGTCTTAAGATGCTGAAACACCAGCGTTAAGATCCAGCTCCACCAGCCAGTACTATAATGTTTAACCTCTATAGCTGAAACATGTTAACAAGTAGGTATGTGACTTGAGAATTAATTACTGGAAAGACTGTCTCTTTCTTCCAGTGACTCCTTGGCAGCTGGGATACTCAGCTGACAGCTCTGTGATTGAATCGGGAGGGGAATACTGGTAAAGCATTCTTACTGAGAGGCCATAAATTTTAAACTAGCAGAACCTTTAAAGATATCATCAGTAGTTTTTCCCACAAATGTGAGAAAAGGCTATGTTAGAAGATGACAGGAAATTAAAGAATGTGGAATTAATTTTGAAACAATATTTGTGGCTTATGCAATTAAATCAGTAAATCTGTAATTTTTTCCACCTGAAAAGTTTTCAGGTTTTAGTTATTTTGCCCTACAGACTATCTAGCGTATAGATATAGACGCTGTAGCTATAAATCAGCACCAGTATTATCTCCCCCAAGATAATTCTGGCATCGAACATTAGTTAAGAATGACCTGAATAATAATAATAAAAATAATGCATTTAGCCAAGAGAAATGTCTGACAAATGAGCTCGCTGTCAACAGTCATTCAAGAAAGCAGAACAGCATACCACCATCAAACTGCCACCTGTTGTAGCTGCTTAAGGAAAATCTCAGCAAACAGCAGTTTTATCCTATGAATACAATTGCTGGAACATTCCACACTGATGTACTTGTGATGCCAGTGCAATGTACTGTAACTAGTAAGGTCAGATCAGCTTTTTATATAGCCTGAGGCAATATTTACACCTTCTAACTGTAGGCATCTAAGCTGGGTATCTATTTCAGAAAGCATCTTCTAAGCATTTCAGTTCCTCTGCTGAAACCCGTTTGTTCATTCCTCCCAGCCCCATAAGCCAATGAGAAGCCTAATGTCATTCTGAAACTTGAGTATAGACACAGTATAGACATAGTATAGACTATACCCCTAAAGCTTCTAGTATGCACTGGAGCAAAATGGGATGTCAGTTTTAGATTTATGGTCATTCTATAAGAATGTTTCACCATATCACCCTCTTGATTACACGACACAGCTGTCAGCTGAGTATCCCAGCTGCCAAGGGGTCCCTGGAATACAGACACAGTCTCTCCAATAGGTAAATTAATGACAAGTGACTTAATAATAGAATTTTAGTGAAATCTTACTTAGCTAGGGATCCCCCCCGACAATAAGTTAAGGAAAAGATTCATTTTTCTAAAGTTACTGAAACCTATCTTTTTACCATCTTTATACAATGCTTACCTTCCTCTGCAGCCTTCTATATGGCTTCTAACATACCATCTTCTGAGACAATAGAAATATGCTTACAGTAACTGAATATAATTTCTAAAACACTGCTGTATCTTACCTAAACCTGATGATGAAGAAACACTTCCTGCAATGGAAGATGTTTCAATTTGGTCTGTCAACAGTCCTTCCATTAAAGGTAAAGATAATTCAGATGAAGGAACAGACGAATCATAGATTCCAGAATCTCGAGGCATGTCTTTGAGATTTGAAGCTTTAACAACATGTAACAATGGCTGAAGGACTGAACTGCCACCACCTTGAATGTCCTGAGTTTCTATATCTTCTCCAAGGTTTAAGTGCTGAACTATACAGGGAGAATCTGAATTCCCAGCTGAAATAATATTTACATCTGTTTTCAGGTAAAAATCGCCATCCATCACCTGTTTATTCACTAAGTCATTTAAAACCAAGCCTGAATCAAATTTTTCCATGACAGGCTCCGAGTAATGCAAAGAAGGTGGAGGGAAGGGAATAAATTGTTTCTCAAACCAATCTGGTTCCTGATCAATGAACTGATGCATATTGCAAATGGCAACATAAAGGGACCTCCCAGATTTGCTCCTGAAATAATTTCTTTTACTAATGTTAGCAGGAAACGCCTCTGAATCCTGTACACTAAGATCTCTGGAGTGTAAATGTGAATACAGCTGGGGAAGATTGTCCATGAGTTTGTATTTTGTACTTAGATCCAGAATACCAGGGATGTCTCCTTCACAGGAGTAATCAAAATAGACAGCAATGAACTTGCAGAGGTCCTTGGAATTTTGCTTTGCTTGACGAAGCTTCTCAGCAACAGTCAACACAGCAAACAGAAAGAGTTCTCCTTTTCCTGCATCTTTGGTTACCCCTCTGTGTTTCCAGTTCTTTTTTTCAACGAAGTATTTCATTCCCTTGGAACAAACAATGATGATAAACTGGGACTCATTTATTTTTTTCATAAGCCACTCTTTCTGATCTTCTTTACAAATTTTTAGATCTTCCCACAAATCTAGAGCCACCTGGAAAAGAAAAGAACATTTGGTTGATATTCATTATTAGATTATTAGATGTATTTGCTAATAAAATATGAGTCAGCTTGTATATATCTGACAATCGAGAATTCATGATGAGTTTAACTACAGCTTGTTTTTGATGCAAATACAAGCTGTTTTAAAAGAGTAATAATTAACATAGCATTGACAGACTGGAACCAGTGACATTAAATATGTCAGTAGTTATTCACCACAACAAGCACAGCCTCACATTCATTCTAAACTTTGCTTGTGGGTTGGATATTTCACTGGGCGAAGGAAGTGGGTGAATTGCTAAGATAAAGAGGAAAATGTTCCAGACTTTTAAAAATTTCTTTAAACATGAATGCTAATTATTATATAAACCCATTTTGCTGCTTATTTATAAAATAAAAACATACCTAATTTACCTGTATTATATATAAATGTATGGAATCAACAAATAAGAGTGCAAAGCCAAGTAGCTGAACGTAAACTGGGTAGTTCCTTAAAAAATAAAAGCACTACGGATTTGGTACACCACAATAATTCTTGGGGAATAAAAAGAACATAGAAAATGTGGTTGGACCAAGTAAATTGCTATTTACTTATCTAGTCAAACTAGATATTATGAATCCACAATAAACAATGTACTGTGCCTGCCTCAAACAATTTAACCATTGTATTTGTGGGTCCATAATGTGCTGAATGTAATGGAAATCCATATTCATTTATCATCCTTTGCATATTAATGAAGTCCGATGCCAAGAATTTTCATATCTAGATACAAACATAATTAGTGCCTATAACACTGAGTCCTTTCAGTTAGGATGCAAAACAGCAGGAGCTTATCTCTGATAAGAAAGCTCTGAAAATTTTGTCACAGGAGTTGTTTTATTTGGTACTGAAACGCTCAGGCAGTTGGACCAGATGATCATTGTAGGTCCCTTCCAAATGAACTGCTCTATTCCATGCAGGGGAAAGAGAAGTCATTTTACAGCTCCTTGGGAGATACGCTGATAAAGGTACAATGCAGGCAAGTTTTTCTTTTGTGTCTGTTTTTTGTTTCTATTCTTCAAAATACTGTCTGATCCGCTGTCTGAGAGAAAGGAATTTTTATATGGTCAAGTTATTATTTTAAGTGACTATTAAATGCCACTGGTTTTGTCCTTTATGAGAAAATATTCCGACCACATATGAAAAATACTTGTGCAACTGTTCCATTATGCATCAAGCATCACTTTTTATATTAAACTCCACAGCTTTAATAACAACACATATTACTTCTGTATATAGATCCTATCAATATTTTGTTATCGACATAACCTCTCCTATGAAGACAGGCTGAGAGAGTTGGGGTTGTTCAGGCTGGAGAAGAGAAGGCTCCAGGGAGACCTTATAGCAGCCTTCCAGTACCTAAAGGGGGCCACAGGAGAGATGGGGATGGAATCTTTATCAGGGAGGGTAGGGATAGGATGAGGGGTAACGGTTTTAAATTGAAAGAGGGGAAATATAGATTAGATATTAGGAAGAAATTCTTTACCCTGAGAGTGGTGAGACACTGGAATAAGTTACCCAGAGAAGCTGTGGATGTCTCATCCCTGGAGGTGTTCAGGCCGGGTTGGATGGGGCTTTGAGTAACCTGCTCTACTGGGAGGTGTCCCTGCCCATGGCAGGGGGGTTGGAACTCGATGATCTTTAAGGTCCCTTCCAACCCAAACCATTCTATGATTCTATAAAAAAATCTTAAATGATGCCTGATACCACATGTTGCATGGTACACAGTTATGGCAGTAACAGCTCACCTGAGCGCTATTCCAAAGAGGAACAGTGTAGCATGACTAAAGTACATCTCTAAAAAGAGGATTCAAATAAGTTCCTTCCAAAACACCTTACCTGAACTATTTTAAACATGGATGAATTGTGAACAAGCCCTCCAACCACGAGGCATCGATCACGCTACTGTGTTTGCCCACTAGAGGTCAGGCTTGTTGTGTGGCTGAAAAATCAGTTCCCTTCCTACATCTCAAATCCCAGCGGCAGCGTTGAAGTGCCCCAAAAAGAGACTCACTATCGTCTTACCTTTTTACAGTTGAAAAGGGAAGGAATGGCCACATATTTATTATATTTTAGAAAGCAGTCTGGGATTCTAAATTAACTATGTCTTTCTCATAGCTTTAAATCAAAACCAAGAAAAAGATACGCTGATTTTACAGCATTAATGGAACAGAAGGGAAAGAAAAAAATTAAAATCAATAGAAATTAATACATAGGGTCAAAAATTTATCCTAATTACACAGATTTTGCTCTAATAGATTTATCTACTTTAAAATTTCAATATAGAACCTCCTTTAGGAATACTGAAGTCTATCAGGGAGACACCAATACATCCTTGTGGCTGCTGACTATAAAGATACAAGACCTACCAAACAGAAAAAGCGGTTAATACAAAACAAGTTAAACATGGCTGAATGAAAGTAGCTGGAATCAATGCAGTACAGTTTTTCCACTGTTCTGTTCTTTCACACAGGCTACAATCTGTTCCTTTCCCTAAGTAAAGAAAACCTATATTGCCAATATTTAGCAGAAGAACGGAAGTTATCTCTGTGGAGAGACTGAAATAACTCATTTTCAATCCTATATTATTATGAGTTTTGGGGGTGCTGTTTCGGTTAAGGAAATCGTTTATAGAAGAAATGTTGAGTTTACCTCACAGCCACAAAAGTCCTGAAGAAAATAAGCAAAGCATTGGATGACGTTAATGTGTTTCTGGCAATCTTTATTGGAATAGCAGATGAACACTTTTGGCCGGGGACGAAGTCTTTCCACATGGAGACCGGCAGCATATGCTGAAGATTCTGAGCTCTCCTCATCTAGATGGGAATATATATTTTCTAAATTGGAAGAGAAAGAGTTCACACTAAAAAGCTTGGTTTTGCTTTGTTTTTTTTAAACTTTTGTAGGCTCATTATTAATGCATACAGTAATGACTTTTTGCAAAATATATTTCTGTCCTTTCCAGCCTGAAAAGAAAAGTTACACGTGTCCTGTTTATCCAGCTTATGAATTGCTACGTATGTGGAATACACTTGGAAAGTGAAATGTGCAGTCATTACTGCACAACTCAGAAAACTTAAGAAAGGCTTATTTTATAAATAGAACAAGGTTGTTTCACCTCTACCAAGTTTCAACAGTCTTCACCTTGCTGTTAAAATACAAGCATTAAAGACATATCATCATAAAGATTTTCCTGTATAACCAAGTGTTTTGTGTTAAAAAAAACACAGCCCAAGCCAGATAATATTAAACTCCAGGTACACAAATCCCTTCAGAATATCATACAGTATCTCTGTATATACACACACACATATGTTTGGGCATTAATTTGAATTAAGATATGATTAATTTAAAGCAAAATAGCTGTTAGTGTTTCTTTCCTTGTATAGATGCTTTTATGCTGCAACATAAAAGTCTGGTCTTACGCCAGACATTCAATCTAGTTCTACAGCTGATTAAGCTAATTTGGAATAAAGCATGAGTATTTCAAAATACAAATATCCATCTAGGGATTTAATTTAGAACAATTCATCAGGAATAACTATTCTGGAACAACTCTCTGTAGACAAATCCTCTGTGATTTTGTCTGGTTTTTTTGTTGGAACCGTGCTAGCTGTGAGCAAAGGGATAGCTGCAGAAGACCAGAAGGTAAAAGGATTTAACCCAGATGGCACATAGCACTTGCAGTATACTTCACTGCCAAAATACAGATGGATAACACAGATACGTGAGGTTTGGGGACGTAATCTCTTTTTCCATATTAATGAAACCGCATGATTCCCTAGATTCTACAAAAAATGCCAATTGATTTTTAACATCTCAATGTATCAAGTGTGATTTGCCAGCTCCTGGACACAGAGGAAAGAAAAGTTAGTAAAGAGGGATGGAATCTAATTTAGAGAAACATCTGCAAGTAAGTCTTAGAAAGAGTAAATTTAGGAAGATGGCTTAGGATGAAGTGGTAAAGGCAATTTCCAGGAAAGTGAGAAAATCTGGAATAATAGATACAGGTAGTGTTCCAGACAGTGCTGAGAGTTTGTACTGGTATCACACGGGTTTACTTTCCTTCTGGTTTAAAATAAATATGAATTAGACATTTCTGAATGAAATACGGGAATGTTTAAAATATATCCATTTACAGATCTGTTTGTATTCTACAGGGTCATGGAGTACTTTTACAAATAAGAACAAATTCAAACCCAAAAATATTTCCCAACAGCAATTTTGTTCTTTCGACAGTGAAGTCTTGATTTGTGATACAACACTTTCTACGGTAACAAAAACCATCAAGCACTGATTAAGAATTTGCTACAAGTTTCAATACACAAAAAGGCTGTGGGGAGGAAGGAGAAAGAAGCAGAAAAAAGAAAGCTCTTCAAATAAAGCTATTTCTGGAATAAGCCTACCAGTTAAGACTGTTCTGGTTGCAAAAGTGTACCTTTACATGGAACTCTATATGGAATAAAACCTCTTACCTTGCTGTTTCTTGCGACACATCACTGTGAAAAGCGTTGCAAACGCTGAAATGACAACTAAGGGGACTGTGATGGCAATAGCTCTTATCGGTCCAGCCCATGGAGAATGTACTTTGAAAAATAAAGCAGAATTAGCCATATGCAAATAAGCTATATTATAATTATCTATTCAATTTTTCACACTGGGAATGTAAAACTGCTACAATACACTATTATCAGGTGATTCTCAAATATACAGCAGAATCAAACATGTTCCACTCCATTTTACATAGGTTTTATGCTGACAGTCCCCATCACCTCAGCATTAGAGAGACCAACTTGCCAACTCACGCTTCCCCCCAGGAGAGGAACTTTACATAAGATATGCAATAGTCATTTGAACCCCACAAATTTTTGTTCCAGGGTGCTGAAGTAGCCACTTAGAACTGCCTTCCTGCACAGATTAGGGTGAGCAATGTGCATTAGGATTCAGTTAGTTTTGCCCGTTGCCTTCATCTGCAGCTGTTTTGTGTCTGCAGTTACATTCTGAAATCCCAACTTAGCTTCTAAATAACTGGTCTGACACACAGACATGCTAAGCATTCACCTGCCAGGTGTCCCAGCCTGCTTGATTTTGTTTCAGGGCTGAGGTACACAGGCAGGTAAGGTGTTTAGGCTGCTCTCACAGATTAATTACATTATTTCCACACTACTGCATGCATCAGCTGTATGCAATTAAGGCACAGGCCATGATTCTTCATACCCATATATACAAAAAAAAATGTATATATACATTTACTTATTTTCCCACAAAGACTACCAATGATATACTGACCTAACCCTGTAAATGTACAGAGATGCAGCTGTGTGTGCATCTACTCATTTTATTAGGTAAAAAAAGATTTTAAAACTCACAGCACAATTGCCTCAGTAGTCTTGATTATAGCAGACACGGGTCAAATCAAGATTTACTTCCAACATAATTAAGACTGAATCTAACTTAATAAGGTAAATACTGTAAACTGTTTAAAAAACAAAATTCCTACCTGGTTTTAGCGCATAGTGCATTGTTTTCCTTGTTGTATTAGTGTCATCAACCAGCTTTGAAAAGTAAAAGATAGATTTTATTTTGTGAAAATTTGATTCTATTTATTTTATGCAATATGTAAACAACTATAACAGCTTTCATGACCAAACATGAAGAAACTTACTGTTCAAAAAGTTAAAATTACAGAGCAACACAAAGTAGTAATTAGTGAAATCCCTTGTCTTTGTTGGTACATAGTTTAATATTGTAATATTAACTTTCAGAGTTCACATACTGTCACCATCAAGAGAAATACACAGGTTTTAATTATAGTAAAAACTACTGAATTAAGTATAGTAAAGACTACTGCAGTAAACTACAGGATTCCAATTTTTAAAAAGAATAAATAAAAAATCAAGTCCAAGAATTGTGCAGGCCCACAACTTTACTTGAAGGCACAGATGAAACTTATGCACTCAGGGAAGCAAAGCTATAGAAGGGTCAATAACAATCTGTCTCAAAACCTTTACTTGCCCATGGTACTTCTGTAGGGATGCCTCAAGTCCAATTTTACCAGTGTGACTTGAAATACTTTAATTTCAGTTAATTTCGCCATTAACATACTCATTTAGCTGTTGTACAAATGACTATTTATAAATATTACCTCAATTATATAATCCCCTGGAGATACATTCTGAAGAACACAACTTGTAGTATCTGTGTTTTGTTCCTACATCAAAGAAAGAGAATACTTTGCAGGCCATTCATACACTTTTAAAACTTAATAAAAAATTACATTTGCATTGATTTAGAAATATGCAGTGCCTTCCTGTATTAATACATATTTCAACAAAACTTAGTCTCTCCACTCAAATATGCAAGGACAACAATCCTCTGCTTGCAGAACTAAAATATGATTAATTATCAAAAAAAAATCTTAAAAGTTTGGTCTAATACATAAACTCCACATTATGCCCTGAAGTTCCCTAGATTTCAGAGATTTAAGATGAAAGACTGACTAGTGAGAACAAACTTGCCGTTGAATACTAACCAAAGTTAACGAATATCATACAGCAAATTGCAGCTCCCATAATAAGACTTATAGACACAGCTGTACAAAATCAGAGAGAACCTAATTCCACGCACATACTAACATGAGAGTTACCTTGTGTTACCATCTCGGATGGGTAATCTATAAAGTGGTCAAATTTGGTGCAAAGGTGAGAGGAAAAAAAAGTAGGAAATAATATGTATAACAAACATAATAAAAGTGCAGTTTGAAGCACTAGTTAGTTGTAGAGTCTTCAAGAGAGAGAACAGTGTCTTCCCATTTGCTTACACTTCCCAGCTCCATTGGAGCCCTCAAGCCTGGTTTTGACCAATGAGTACTCTTACAATACAATTATTATTTGCATAAATAGTACCAAATAGTTTAAAAATTTTAAAACTGATAGTATTCTGTATTACATTAAAGTTTTTAAAGTTTCGATAAAACCACAGAACATCTAATGTTAATAGGCTTTGTGCTTTTAAGAGTTGCAAAACCCAGCGACGTACCTGTTTGCAGGTCTTCTGCTTAAATGGCCCTTCATGCTTAAGTTTGTAGTGAAGAAAGTAATATCTAAACCCAAAGTTGTGAGGTGCATGATCAAAGGACACTTGCATGTTAAAACCCTGCTGGGTAACATTCAGATTCCTTGGCTTCCAGTCTGTCAGAGAAGATATTCATGAATTGGAAAAAAGTGACTCTTCAAGCACAGTAGAATTTTGTAAGATGAATATACAGAAAGTATTACTTTTTACTTACAGGGTTTGCAGACAAGGTTTTCTGGCTGTAGCAACAATTCACATGCTACAAATACACACAAAAGTTATTAGTGATACAGTATCAAATTGCTATGCTATTTAAATAGAAAGGGAATGAGGGCAAAGAAGGGAGTTCATCATTTTTAAGACAATACCCCCAATTCATTCCCAGACTCTAATATGCCTGGAGTAAATTTGTTCTGTTTATATGTTATGGTTTCAAGTCCCTTCTCATCTTTTTATGTGAAACACAGGTTCATTCATTTGAAAACAGCATTCCTCGGTGTGACAAAAGGGATAGCACCAGGCACAGCACAGCAGGAGAGGAAGTTGAAAATACACTTAAAGACATTTAGGCAGAGTAGGTAAGTATGCTGAGCGCTATTACAGAGCCAACGTTACTGCTGTCTGCTTCAACAGAACTGAAACTATTTTAAGAAAGTTTTATAGGGCAAAAAACACCTAAGCAGGACAAATACAAACATTTCACTCCAAAGGGTACTTCCAGTTTCTCATCATACTATTTAAGCACTGAGGATGTTATTCAAGTTTCTTGTCTCTAACTCCAATGAGGATTGCTAAGTAGTTTTGAAAAATTCAACTTGATTTGTTGCTATCTAATTCCATATGTACTCATCCATATCTCTCTCTAGATCTGGTTTTGAAACTGTGATCTCAAAAACAAAAACAACCTGAACTTCTTCACAATGTCCAGAGAGGAGAAGGAGCAAACCATCTTCAGGAGTCAAATGTTCCTAGGAACCATGGGAGTAATCCTGCTGTAGACAAACCCGAGACCATCTCAGGCCTACCTGAGATTTTCTTCTGCTTGGTGCCTAACACATATTATCACACACCACAGATTTATCTGTGGCATCCAGATTTTTTCCACTTAACACCCAGACCTTCCTTCAAAAACTACGTCAGTAACTATCTTAACCCAGACTCACAGAAGGTCACCTGCTACATTCCTTTGCTGGAAAAACAAAAAACCCCCAGGGGCCAGGGAGGGAGGGGGAGAATGACAAAGATGGAACAGTGCACTAATTGGCAAAGAGATGATACACAATACTATATTGTATGCAATACTTACGTCTAGTCCGGAAGAAAAATGGGTGATAATTACTTTCATTTTTAATGGAAGGAAAAGGAACAATCTTTACAAAGTAATCTGTTTCAAACTTCAGATTTATAAAGGGCTGGGATTCCATTCCCTACAAAAAAACAAGATTGCAATATATTTTTAAATCAACTGTTATAACTGAAACTATCTTTAAAAACAGGCCCACACTTTCACAAATATAAGCAGAAATTAATACATTTAGAATCCTTTATCAACCCATTATGCATTGACATGAGAAATCTCCATACAGATTTGGATGGGGACCAGTACAGATGTGCACCTGCACTGCAGGCACCCAAATGACAGCTTCAAGCTTCAGGACAGCTTCTATAGAAGGGACTAGATCTGTCTCTAGAGCAACAACTATCATTAGTTTAAGGAATAATACTTTCAGAAAGCAACCCGTTTCCTAGTAAACAGCACATAGTGTATATGTTTAGTTAGAGATATGTTTAGATTTATATGCAGCATATAAACACTTTCAATACTACTCACACAGTCAAACAACAATGAAACTTTTCTTGAAACAAAGCACTTACTGTTCGTTTAAAACTGGGGCTGAGCTGCTTTGGATCTTTTAAAACCATCTGCTGGCATTGTCTTCCCTCTGATTTTAACTCTTCAAGTATTACTCGAAATCCTTTCAGGTATTCAATCCCTGCAAACAGCAGGACATTTAAATAGAAGACTGATATTTTAAAATGCATAATATGGTATTTTACATAATTTGAATCTATTTAATTTGTCTTTAAAAACAAAACTTACCAGTTGTATGAAATATGTTTGTATTTTAACACCTGCCATTGTATGTTAGTTCTTCCCGCATTTTCTATCTTGCCTATTTAGAACTCAAGCTTTGGCAAAGATTGCAATTACTACATACTTGTGTAATGCTTAGAGCAGAGGGGCCCACATCTCAGCTGGGGCTTCCAAACTATCACTGCAATATAAGTTATCATTACCTTCATCAGCCTCAGGAATACTTTATCGTAACTTCACCATTACCATTATTAGCAATGAAACAACATTTTGCTAGCAAACTACAGAAATACTCCTTTATAACATCTTCCTATCATTTCTGAGATTACCAGATTAAATTGATAGTGGTTGTTACAACTTCTTTAGTTCTAGTAGAGTACGGGGTGACAGAAAACTTGACTTAAATGGAATGGAATTTATTCCAGTGCGTGAATACTTCCAGTTATTTATAACTGATGCCAGAACTACACCCATTTTTTTTCAAGTTACCCTAACACAACTAACTCCCAGTACAGTGTCTTTACATTTCTTCACAATGTTCTCATCATGGAATTACTTCATTACATGACTAAATGGAGTCACAGTGATGTGAATATCACAGGACAATGCCAAAGTGTTACCCTGTGATACTTTTGTGGCTCAGGTAACAAAATCACTGCACAGTTCTTATAGGCTAACTACCACTACTCTGTCTAATTGTATCTTTTCAACAGCATTACATATGGCAGAATACATATTTATCAAAGACACAGCCACAGCCTTTGGAAGCTAAATGCTACATAAATCAAAACTGAATTGAGTTTATGCTATGCTTCTCAAATTAAAAAAAAACCCAAACATCCCAAATGTGTGATTTTCCATGGACCTCCTCCATTTCAGTTGTTTTCATGGTTTTGTGGAGTTTTTTTAACATTTTAAAATTTTGTAGAAGACCATGAGTTGCCCAATGTGTTCTTAATATTTCGTGGAACAAAAGCACTATTTGTGCTCACATGAAGAAAATGAGAGTGTCCAGTCTCCATGTTACCCGAGATGTTTCAACAGCAGTTCTGTCCTAACAATTTCCAAAGGATTAACCTCTGATGATTACAAGAAAGAAAACCAAGCTTTGTTTCCCAGAGAGATTTGGTTCATCCAGTCTGCAGCTGAAGATTACCAAATGCTTTCAACTGCACATTTTTGCAGAATTATGTGTAATTTTCATATACTCTTTTAAAACTCAGAAATTAATCATTTTTTTAATCCAAAAAAATTATGAAAGCATGATTTAATACTGGGAGGCCACAAAAAACCCCCAAACTTTTCTTATCTAAAATATTTGATTTAATAAATGCAGATCTAGGCTAAAAAATTTCTATCAGGTTTAATAAATACACATTTGCATTATTAGCCATATCTCCCCATTAATGTGGTAGGATTATATCTTAAATGGTAACTTCCAGCTCTTACTAAATCATAGAATCATAGAACAGTTTGGGTTGGAAGTGATCTTTAAAGGTCCAACTGCCCTGCAACAAGCAGGGATGTCTTTAACTAGCTCAGGTTGCTCAGAGCCCCATCCAAGCTGACCTTGAATGCTTCCAGGGATGAGGCATCTCGCATCTCTCTGGGCAACCTGGGCCAGTGTTTCACTACCCTTATTGTAAAAAATTTCTTATATCTAGTCTGAAGCAACCCTCTTTTAGCTTAAAGCCATCACCCCTTGTCCTGTCACAACAGGGTCTGCTAAAAAGGCAAAAATTACATAACAAAGGAAACATTTCCTAACATCCATTTCCAAAAAGCAGTTACTTTCTCACTCATTGTTAAAATGTCACCTTTAGCTTGATTAGACGCACTAAGTATGGGTTGGTTTGTTTGGTCTTTTTAAAATATCTGTGTAGCATACTACTGACAGCCACTTGTCATCACAGAAAAGGTCAGGAAATTTGGAACACTTGCCTTTTTGTGAAACAAGAATGCTTAACTCAAAGATTTGAGTTTGACAACTCTTAAGAACTTTGCCACAGAACAGCCAGTGAACCTCTGTGGGGCACAAAAGATTTTCATGGTCACTCTCCATCTCATTACAAAGTATTGTAAAGATACTGTAAAGATACTGCTATTTAAATGTCTTGCTTTTATAAAACTAACCACTTGATAACATCCTGTGCACTTCTAGCTCTGAATCATTGCTGCAATAATTTTCCTATGAATGATGCAATGACTGAATTTCATGTGTGGTGCTATCTCTGTAACCTTACACTAGGAATCCTTTTTTTCATTCCAATATTTCCCTGTATTATTTTAGCCAGTTTTACTGTGGCAGGAAGAACAAGTGCCTCCCCAGCAGTATGTGGTCTTTTGTCTTTCAGTATTGAGTAAGAAATTTCAGAAGAGATTTCACAAAAAGAGGCTTCTAAAGATTTATCATTATGTTTAGAGAAATTTTTCACTATATTGAGCATTGCATGGCTTCAAACTTGGCTGAAAAAATTATAGAGGTTTGTCTTTATCTTCCAGATATTTAGTGTTCAAATGTTTTGCTCATCATGATGGCTTCACAGCACTAGCTAATATCTCAAGGCACACTATATGCTTAGGACAAGGTTCATTGTTAACAATGGCAGGTATAAATCTGTATTTCAAATGGTCTTAATAATTTTGGCCAACTTTTTATCTGAACTGATTAGATGGTCATTGTTTTTACCTTCTAATGTGGCTTATGAAGAGCCCGTAGTAGGAGTGGGGGAACTGTCAGCTCTACTGTTTTCTTGTTGTTCGCGTGTGCTCACTTTACTAGTATTATTTTTGATGCTCTTAAGGCTCCTGTCCATTTCATGATGGTTAGTTTAGTTAAAACTAGATAATCCAATCAGTAAATCCCCTCAGCCTGGCACACATACACTGCAATACATCCCAATATGCTGGAAACAAATGAAAGAGCGAGGGCACCGCTGTGAACCCGTCCACACCTGAGGATACCTCACATCCCACACGTGAAACACGAACATCTGATGTAAGACTGAGTAAGGGTGCCAGAGTTAACCCATATATTAAATTTTAGTAAAGCTTAGTTTTTCTTTTCAATATCTAAAAAATATGTATATAAAAGTTCTAAAGTTCTCTTCACGTGCCCCAATGGATCATTTTGCACACCCCCCACTTTGGAGACAACTGCTCTAGTGGGTAACAAGGTATTTCCAATGACATTTAAGCAAATGAGGAATATTCTTAGTGACCAGACCTGACAAGGAAACACATTAAAATTGTATAGCTATGATTAAATGATGTTTTCCACCTGTAAGACAATTTGCATCCTAAAGAATCTTTAAGTGCATTGGCAATTAAACTCAATCAATGCCACTGAAATGCGCCAATGCCTTGGAGCAGAGAATAAAATCAGGGCTATTGCAGTTCTGGAGAGCAGGAAAAATTCAACAGACTGGAATAGTAAAAAGCAGCGTATAGCTGCAGAGAGCATCCTAATTTTAATGGTTTTTCAAGCAAGCTAGTAAAAATTGCAGCTTTGTAAAGCTGTTAAGAATTCCCTTCTTCTTAAGCAGTTTGCTTCAATGATTCCAAGAATAATTTAATTATTTTACTTCATACTCATCACCAAGAAGTTGCTGCAAAAGACACGACGAATTAGTGCATTTCCCTCTGCTACTTACCGATGGCATTTGCTGTCCAAAGAATCGTCACTGCGACCTGTTCGTAGCACGCGTACTGACTGAGAGTTATATTCTGCACATCTCCAATCACGTGTTTTCCCACTGAATTCAGATAAGGCGTGCAGTCTAAAAACATGGAGAAATAAATGCTTTAAGAAAAACATTCTAGCTGATGTTCTTGTGCCATACCAGAGGAAGTAAATCATAATCTGCCAACAGCACCTAATCTTAAAGATCTATTCAAGTGGCCAGTTTCTAACATAACCGGCATCTTCCCACATAAAGAGAAATTAAATAAAGAATTAAGTTCTTTTCCTAAAATTTCTTCAAGATTGAGCAAACTAAACAGTACAGTATTTATTCTACAAAATATAGAATAAATAGTAAATCTAGATGAACTTTTTGTCTCAGGACACTGAAAACCACAAAACTTTACAGATCATTGAGCTCAACCACTTCCACCAGTTGTAAAACCCTAGTTCACAAGACCCAAAGGAAATTACCAGTTTATAATACCAGTGTAGCCTGTACCACAGTATGAGGACGTGTGTCGGGACTCCCAAAAGAGAACAACTTTTCCTCACTCAAAAGAATATGAGGGCTGACATTAATTTTGTGCATGCACAACGGTTAGAGCAAGAGAATGTTGGTCGATGATGAGGCACGTAGGAGAACAATGAACAATGGGAAGCTTTAGAACTGGTGCTCAAGAAGTGCTTTTTAACCACGATACTGCTTGATCCTGACCACAAAGATCCTACTGCCTAAATCCAGTTGTCCCTGTTCATCTCTGTTATCCATTCAGTAGCCACATCCCAGTAGACCACTTTACTGCCTCTGGATCCAGTCAGAACTGGTTTTGTCTTGTTATCCTCACAAAATACACTGTATTCCCTAAAGTTACAGCTCTGCAAACATAGAAAACCTCAGCTTTCATTAAAAAATAAAATGTAAGAAAAATATTCTTGACTTGGCTGTTGAACTTGACCATGTCTTAATGCATTCAAAACAAGAAAACAAATAATGCCAAATTTCATTACTTTTAAAGCCTTGCAATGTTTAGGCTCATGTTTTGAGGCAGGAAGAGAAGTAGCAGCCAGAGAATTCAATAGTTCCGGAGCACAGTATATATGAAGACACGTATGCACAAACATTCTGCTTTCGAACTAGTAAAGCCAACAAAATACAGAAAAAGTTGACCAGTAGACCATGTATTACTGACTGACGGCTAATTCTAAAAACTTGAGATAAACTATGTGTTACATATTCGTCTATAAAGAGTTTGTAGAAAAGAAACAAGAAAAATCGAGTGTTATCAATAAGCCAATGCAAGAAATTTGAATTTAATTCAGAGGTGTGATCTTAAAGGCAAGGAAAGAAAAATTATTAACTGAAAAGCACTTTTAGAAAATGGCTTTTTAGTAAAAAAAGGAATAACTAGGAATAACAATGGTAATGAGTCTTTTATGTAGCTGTCACACAAATAAAAATAGAACAGTTTGTACAACATTGCCATTTACAAAAGCTGGGCAGTTGGTACTTACTCTGCTGTTTGTAGAATTCTGTTGCTATGAGTGAACTCAATGACAGCATGAACTTCCTCTTAGGAGAATAGAGTATCTCTTTCAATGGAAAGTTTGAAGTAACAGGTTTTTTGCTAGGTCTGGATCTAATTAATAGCAAGCCCAAGATTTTGGATCCTGGTTACTAAAATTTTATGGTCAAATGACAATTTGCCAAAATGGAATATAGCACAAACGTCTGAGGTTTGACTGCAAGTCACTGATTTACATTTTTAAAGAACAACAGATTTAGGAAGAAAACAGCAGGGGAAAACTGGACTTTTCAGGAAACCGCTTCTTTTACTTGAATACAAGTGAAATACTAAAACATACAAACATTTGGTTTTCACCTGAATAAATAATCTAACCAACTAATTTAACAACATAAAACACAGTTTGCTAGAGTTGCTTTGTGGCAAAATAAAAGCCTTTAAATCACAGCCAGCACACCAAATTCTCTTTTGTGCTGGCTTATTCACGATCAGTATGTTTCCATAGTAGGAACTCTTTAGCCTTGCTATCAGGGAACTCTTTTCCTAGTACTGCAGAAGTCAAATAACTCCTTTGTGCAGGAAACATACAGTGCCAGCAGAATTTTGAATCAACACTTGTCATTGGTTAAACACAGCTCCTAGTGCCAGAATTAATGGAAAAAACATGACAGATACTGGAACTTAAACAGACTCCATTGTGTTAACTAAACGTGGGGATCTCTGTTCTGACCGATATTATTTCCTGTTTTTCTTTATGTAGATAAAAAAAAAAAATCATAACTCTTTCATAGTGACCACTTGTCTCTTGTACAATCTAACATACATAAATTTTGCTTATTTTAAATATTAACATCAAATTATATTTAAAAAAAATCACAGTGAAGGATTGAAAATTCAGAAATTAACATAATGATTGGAATGAAACAAAAGCACTAGTGTCAGTTTTCCTGATACATGCTGTCAATGATGAAATTCCACCCACATTCAGCATTTGAGGTAATTTCTTTGGGTAGGCAAAAAACCCAACCTGTGACTTCCACTGGCATTAATACAAACGTTACTGCACTAAATTAGGAGCTTCTTTTGATTGTACATTGAGTTTATATTGATGATGGCCACAAACTGCCCAAATAAGGACAAATTCTCAATGTAGTCAATAGTCATACTTTACTGACTAGACAACACAGATGACAATAACCTTTAAAAAATGAAAACAATAAGACACAGCCACTTCCCAGACGTTTGAAGAGGTTTGAATTATTATTGCTGCAACTTACTTATAACTGTTATTATGCTAGAGATTAGTTTCTGCTTAGTTTAGCTGCAAAACAGACCACATCTGCTACAGTACTAAAACCATCTGTCTTCACTGAAAATATAGACAGCAGTTTTCCCCTAACCTGGTGCTTTAATACTGTAGCTGATAAAAAGTTCCAACTACTTCAACTACATGAAGAGTTCTTCTTCAATGTTCATATTCAATATCAATCCTTGCTAGGACACCTTTTTAATATTTTCCCTGGATACAAATACAAACTACAAGTTTTCTACCTTGAGATACACTTCACATCATTTTCCCCCAAAATTACACATCAGAGAAAAGATGTATAAAGCTTGAAAAAATCCTTTCCTACAACTTTGTGTGTAGTGAACCTTCCAATATCTACGTTCTTTCACAGAATAAGAACATTCTCTACAATTTTCCAGCTAAATACTGGGCAGATGATGTAGGCCAATCTCAAAGTGAAACTCCTACAAATTATTAGATAGTCCTATTATCAGTGAAACACAGGAAGGAAAAGATCCACCAGACCCAGAAGAAAACAAATCTAGATTTTAAAATTATGCCAACATATATGAGCTCATGCTATTCTTCAAGCAGTTTTTAAGAGACATGTTGCTATAATACTCACAACTGTGAAGGAGCCCTTGATTTTTGTAAATATTGTGCAAATTTTCAACTTACTGTCGTATTTAAAGGTGATATTGAGTAGTCCATTGTTCTTGGTGACCGATGACAGCCCCTGTACAGAAATACCAGGAAAATAATTTGATTAAAGCAAGTTACTTTGAACTTAGGTAGATTTTTATTTTGTAGTAGTTTGTTGGAGGATAACAGAACCCATGATTTTTTCCTTCTGTTTAGGCACACCGTCCATCAACCTGAACAGAGGTAATGGCAGAACAGATTGCATCCACCTACGTGCACTCACCTGTCATCAACTTTCCAAATATAATATTCTAAGAAGTGAAAGCAAAGAGAAATTAAAGTCTGAATATAATATTTGCACAAAGACATAAAATTGTGATTCAAGTAATATGACTTGCTCAGTAGATGTGAATCATAGAAGTTCATTTTTGAAAGAAAATTATGTGATGTTCTCAGTTTCCACCATCTAGGGTAACCGTGCCCATACACACCTTTAATCAAGGTTTAATAACAAATTAAATTGGATTCTCCAGGGCAAACAAAGTGTAACAGAAAAGAAGAGAGAATGTGAATCTGAAAAAGCTGATCTCAATTCTACAGTCATGAAAAAGAGTATCAGAAATTCAAACGGAGAGTTGAAGGAGTATCACCGCTAAGCACTGCGGTCATAGCACTTCAGCTCTATTTTCCTGGTGAAGGTCATTTTCAGGAAAGAAATTAAAGGTAGGAGAAAAATAGCAGAAGAACTGATTAAAGAGCACTCACCACCTCCCAGATGTTCCTCATCTCATTAACTACCTCAGAAGAGGTGCCTGAAGGACTCTGTTACCTATTAGTCATTTGGTAAACTAACCCACCAAATATTCAGCACACTCAGAATCCACCTATAATCAAGTCATCTTTTTTCTTAAGTCTAATATTACTCAATGCTCACAAGAACTACACAGAACTCAAAGCTTAACATAAACTGAGGTATAATAAGCCAGAACACAAAAACCTATGGCCTGATTCATCCATGTGCCAGAACTGTATATGGGAGAAACTTACTACAGAGAGAGTATCAATGCCCAGTGTCTAGATATGAGCCCACATCTATCCTTCATTAAATTATTTATACAGATATATTTGTATGTAATTTATGTTTCTGTGCCTGACTTCATTCTTGCAGAATTTGTATTTCCATGTGCTTTGAATCTTATGTGTTTTATCCACTGGATTACTTTTCTGTTGTACTGGTTTTATGGGAGAGGCTCCCATATAAAGGCCCAATCATTTTAACATGTAATGTAAACATTTTAAAGAAATTCTTGCTAAGAATAACTTAATTAGACAAAACCACAGATGGATAATTTAAATTTCAATCTTCCCTTTGATTATTGGCTAACATCAACAAAGTTAAAGGAGAACAAATGAAACAGTGGATTTCCAACAGGAATACTACAGATAATTATATCCCATAACTTTTCCAGTGGAAATGTATACTGTAGAAATCCATACTGCCATCCTTGCTGAAAGTCTCACTCTTACTAGACGCAAAGTTGAAAACTGGAACAATGATAGTTATGGAGTAATATCATTCCCTGACAAGCAAATAACACAATGTTTACCATTATCTTTAAAAAAGTATCACTCATTTACATAGAATTGTATATGGGTTTATGGCTACAATGTAAAGAACAGAAATTAATAGTATAGAAGGAAGCCAACAGTAATTAGATGTTGTCAGGATCACACACAGCATTCACTGTGTGCCACTTAATAGTCAGACACAGGTGCTTAGAAAGAAAAAACAAGGTATGAGTTAAGTTACCTTTAAAGAAAAAAAGTAAAATACTACATAAAGGATGAAAGCAAATCAGATCTTGATAGCTTCGTTAGAAGTTAAACTTGCAATGTCACTTTCTTCTTAGGCGGCTTTTTATTTGTTTAGCTTTGATATAGGTTGGCGTTAAACAAGCTGTTATACAAAACAGTTTCCTGAAACAGGAAGGCATCCTTTTTTTTTTCCAGTCTTTTCTATTAATACCTATTCTATTCTGACTCATTTTCTGTTTCTCTTAAACTTTAAAAAATGTCATTTAACTTACTACTACAGCAAAATAAAGACATTATGTGTTTGATTAAAAAAACACAAAAAAGAAACTATTGAATTCATATTTATAAATAAGCGCAGATAAACCATCAAATTAATTAATTGTTACCTGTCTTACTTTTGTGTCCTAGAGCTGAAGTTTTGAGAGACATACTTTTCACCAAACCACAAAGAAAATTAGCACAAGTATTTTAATTCATTAAATAGGATCTTTTATATCCTAAATTTTAAAAAAATATAATATAGCAGCACTTTTCACGTCACCTTTAATTGCATTTCCACTGGGATTATTGTGACATCACAAAAGATGTAACAATAGAAGAATACATCAACATACTATACTATAAATTAGATGCAAAAAGTAAATATAACCATAAGCCAAATTGATGAACTTAAGCAGCATGTGAGACTTACTAGTTGTAAAAATTTTCTCCCAAGTGTACAAAAGGTGCAAAAAAACTGCAGTAATTCGTGAGAGAATTAGGGTCACCTGAAAGTATTGAACAAGATAACTGTCATATTAGTTAGAGGTTAAAACATAGAAGCTGCACAGACAATTTCACTGCGCTAAACTTTGCTAATAAATCCTCCAAGTATTTACGGCTGTGAGTTTAAAAATATCTTCTTCCAGGAAACATTCCCTTGTTTTTAAGCCATAAAGTAATTGTTCTATTTAAATGGCCTACAGCTAAGACAACTTGTTTAGAGCATCTTACTTTAAAACTATAAATACTAATGCTGTGGCCTTAGGGCTCTACATTCTTAGTTAATTAACCACTAGCATTTGTTGAATTTACATGCAGCTTTTAATTTATTCTGAACTTTACTAGAAAGAAAGTCTCCATTGCCTGGAGCTTTGTCTACAAAATCCCTTTGGTCCACAAACTTCTACACATGCTGACTGAGAAGAAATAGGAAAGAAAACAGCCAAAACATCTTCTATGAAGAACTATAGATGACTGATCTTTAAACAGATAATCAAAGTTGAAATGCACACAGATTAAATTACAAATAATCCTGTTTGTCAAAAAGTGGGTGGGGTGGGTGGATGGGTGGTGTTTATCCACAACTCTACAGAAACCATGATAAGCTTGGATCCAAATCCTGCATCTATATTGGGCAAGCAAGCCAGAAAGAATTTCCATTACGTATCACATACCTCAAATCACAGAGATCGGTGTTGGATCTGTTCCTCAGTCCACATGAACAACCTTAATAGTTAAAGTTAAGATCCCCAGATACCTTAAATCTGAGTAACACTAATACACATCATCTCCTGAAGAATGAATAACTCATTTGGATGTTCAAGGCATGTACACGCATTTGATTATATTTGAATATCCATCTTTCAACACGAAAGAGTACAAGTATTAATAAGAGCCAAAGACTATTAAATGAAGAAGTTAACCTGTATTTCCACTTGTTTATATTTTTCTAATACCTACCCTTCATTTATGGCAACATCTTATTAATGGAATGCACTTATGACAACTTTTTCTACCCATTAGTAGGCCAGAGAGAAAGAGAGTCAGGATTACATTTCCAGAAACAAAGCTTAAAATACATTTTAAGCACAGGAACTAATTGTGCCTCCAAAATAAGTTAAATTTAACTAATGTCTGCCATCAGAGGCATAAATTAAATACAAAGGAAAGAAATAAAAAATCTGCTTAATTCTTATTGTTGAATTTTCCCTCTTGCTTTTAATCTGGAACAGATAGTGTTTCATAGTTGAAAGTAACATCTATTTTTCATATTTGACAATTCCTGCCAGAGATGGCACTAGCGATTTCAGAATTGTCCTATGACTAACCATTTTTACAATAATATTGAAATATACTGCAACATTCAAGTTTTGTTGAGCAAACACTCTTTCATTCAATAAAAGCAATTTATGCCTGTGAATAGGCACTGTCAGGCAGCCACTTCAACATCAATACCAGGAAACAGAGATAGATGCTAGCACTAATTACAGAGATCTGGTAAAGGAGGTAGGAAATCACTACCCCTCAAGCATAGCCTTGTGCACCAGACCAAAACAGTAATCACGATTCATCTTTCATATGTTGTTAATCAACGCACATATGGTCCTAATTTCATGCTCCCATGAGGCAAACTGAAAGGACAATTGTTTTTGAACTCTAACATCAAGATGAATAATCAATGTTTATCATACTCATTGCTCAGTAAACTAAAAGCTTTATATTTGACATCTGCTCTTTTTATTTTAGAGCTTTCTTGATGCTTTCAACCAAGTTAAAATATTTTCTACAGTCATCAGTAAAAAGATGAATAATCTGTACTATTTATATGCCTGCATTTTGGATTGCTTCCACCAGAATATAACAAAATATATAATCCGTGGTCATGTTTGCTGTGTAACTTGTGTGTACTCCACTGACTGCAGAATGAATTCGAAGCCCTGGGTGGATGGGTTTGTACTGTTATTACTATATCCTTGGTGTAACTGACAATTCCAACCACAAATATTGTTCAGATTTGCCTTAAATGTGCATTTGTGTGGGGGTGTGTTCTGCATTGCATTGTGGGAACAACTTTTTAAAAAACATCTCAGTGACACTGGAGAAGTAAGTTTTACTAAAAATGAATTCGTGGAGCAACAGGTTTCTCAGTTCCTGGATTTATTACATAGATTCTTCAAAACATTTTTTTTTAACTTCTTTTAATAAGTTGGCATATTTTGTGTTTCTTCTTATGTAAGCAATATAATGATTTAGAGGAAATTACCACATTTCGGTTGGTTTTTTGTGGTGAGTTATTTACTGCTTCACTGCTTCATCTTAAGAGCCACAGCTCACGAGTCCAGCAGCAGAGAAGCCGAATGTGTCTCCACAGCATTTGGCCTGAGATATGAAAGGCAAAGCATTGTTTTTAATTCAATTATAAACTATACTGGAGGAGAAAGAAAACCATCATTTTTGAGCATGAAGGAACTTCATGCTCCATCCAACCCCTGATTATCCTCTTGCTCTCCAGGCTGC